TATCTGACTTAATCTGCTATCTTTCATGTTTAGCTGAACAATTAATGAAATTTATAATGTCAAGTGATTAAATTTTATTTTAATTGTGAGTTTTAAAATAATTATTACAAAATTGAATAATTTTTAATTATATAATAATAAATAACTATATAACAATATAAAAAATCTTACTAGCAATGTATTTTAATTAAATTCCAACAAAAATATATTTAATTTACTAGTTGGATCATAACTTAATAATAGTTTAGAGTTACTAATGAATAATTAAACCAATAGTTTTTCTGATTTAATAATAACTTGTATAGTTTTTAAAACGTCCAATCTCGGTCTTACACGATCTTATGACTTATCCCAATAATTAGTAGGAGCATGCAAAGCAACAGGATTTCAAACAATTAATAAAACATTTACTCATTCATAGCAATAGCAAAAGCATATATAGCATTCCACTTAGATTAGAATGGTCATGTTCTTTGCAGTAATCAGAGGCTCAGAGACTAGCTCCTCCATTAATTGATTAATTACTTTACTTTAATTGGTGAACTTTCTCTAAGGTCAAAAATGTGTGTAAGATTTCATTGCACCGTACCCTTTATTAATCCTTCTTCATCCAGAAAACTCTTTCTCCAATTCATTTGCTTCTGTGTTTGTATCAATCATCAACAACCTCTTTCAAAGATTGCTCAGTGCTGAAATTTAGCAAAGGGTGACAGACTCAAGCCTGCCAAAGATTACAGAAAAGGTGTGCTCAATTTTCTTTATACCTTCCCTCTTATTTTCATGTTGTCTAGTTTTGTTTCTACCTCCATATATATGTTTACAATTTATATTCATTTTTATGTTGATGGAGATACAAAAGGAGCTTTTATTGCTAAAAAAGACTATTAGTTTAATCAGTGTGTTTTGAAAAATGTTTATGAACTTGATTTTAATAAGTTCAGTTTAGTCAAAATAAATTTGAAATAATTGAAGTAATTTATATTTTAAAATATATATATATGGAACTAATTGTGATAAAATTTAATGCAAAAGTATGAATTCAATTCAAATTACAATTATTTTTCATTTCTAGTCAATGGTACTTTTAAAAGCAGATATAACCCCTCCCCATACCAATCATTTTACCTTCGGTACAGTCTAAATGGTAGTCGATCTCATTGAAAATGATGACTAACTTGGATGATTATCTCTGAAAGGTACAGGAGAATCCATGCAGATGAAGAAGTAAAAGCACTCAAAAGTATCTTTTTAAAGTTAGGTTAAGTTAGGTTTTGAAGAGAAGTGAACGATAAGATATAAATATTTTATTTTTAAATTAAAAATATTAAAAATTAATATATTGAATTGAAATTAAGATATTATTTTCTTTTCATAATAAAAATTATGAAATTAATTGCCTTAAAAAAATAAAATTATTTTATATCTTTTTAATTTTTTTTCAAAAATATATATCCTAGACCTATCTTAAGGGAATCTCTTTATCCATATTTCTTTTATCTCTTCATGTCTTAACTAACATATATTATGTAAAAAATATATATTAGATCCATACAAAGAGGCAATATTATGAATCTAGTCCACAAAGAGATAAGCTGATTCCATAAGACTAAAAAACGAGAGTACTCTCTCTCTCTCTATATATATATAGAGAGAGAGTTAAGATGACGTGCACTGGACTCGTATATTTTTCCTTGTCGCGGCAATTTTATTCCAAAGTAAACACACTTTTGATGTCTAAAAAGTTATTCCCTCTTAATCTTTTGCACACAGCTTATTTCATTATCACTTCTCGACAACAAAAAAAGAACTTTTATACAAGTATATTAATGTCTAATGAAACAATCAATTTAAAACCTCTAAATTACATAGCAGTGTAGCTTTGTTGTACACTTGTGTATGAATGGATATCAAGTGAGAGGATTAACTTTACATTAGAGTGAAAAAAGACAAAGTAACATTAATTATTATATCCTATACATTTACATCCCTTTTCAGTTTACAAATTGACTATTAACTACTGTTTATTTATATGCCAATATAATATGATATTAAAAAGTGTAAGGTGGCACTGTATTATTTGAAACAACGTCACGTTCTACTTTGAATTTGTATGTTTCATCTTTTACCCTGTTCCAAATAAATAAAAGACTAGCACATGCATATTTGAGAATGTAGCAACAGATACCGGTTGGCAATTCAACTTGTTAAGTTTAAATTGGACTCTTAACCAAAGAATTCAAATCTGAATGAAAACTTGAAAACTATCAGAATAATCACCAGATATTGAGCTCCAGAATCCAAAGGTAAGTTTTTCTCTTCTTCTTCTTAATTTGTAAAATATCTTTACTCACTTTGTGGTGTGGTGTGGGCCGGAAGTAATCCTTTTCAAAACAGTGACTCGATTGGTACGTACATCCACAGTATGTTTATAATACATAAACATAAAATCTTTTTACAAAATAAAAAAATAAAGATCAAAGTGAATTCTCTTGAAAAGTAAAAGGGTCATCAGTTGTTAAAATTTAATTTTATTAATTTTAATCATGGTTACAGTTTAAAACTTACATCTTTGTCGATGTCGTTTTAATTGTTTTCTTTCGCATACGTGTGATTTCATCTTAACAATTAATTATGATCCAAAAGTTAACATTACAAATATCCAACTTTGACAATATTATGTCAATCCCAGTTAATGTTACTTTTTTGTTTTTTTAATAGGATAATGTTAGCATCTCTCTCACATGATAGAAATGACTTGAAGAAATTTCATTTATAATTTTAATATACTCAACAACCCACTCATGAATATTAGTCTAAAGTAAAACAACCATGGATAAAATATGTGAGACAATTGAATTATATAGTCATCGATCATTATCATTGTCTTTGGTTATGATACTTGATGAGGTTGATTGATCGATATAGAAAACAGGATATAGGATTTGTATGTAAACTGCCACGGGCATTATAACCCCCATTGCTGTTACGTAACGCATTTCAACACTCCCTCCACCATGCCCACTTCCCTGCCTACCGTTAAGCAAATTCGTCTTCACAAATTCCTATTTGCCTTTCTCATTATAATTAAAGAAAAAACTTAAATTGAATATTATATATATTATTCGTGTTATAATTTAAATAAAACTAAACTTTTATTTTAGTAATACATGTCAACTTTTAACGTTAACATTTTGAATTTTAATGTTGACTTTTATTATATAGATAATTGAGATAAAACTCTAATTTTGATTAAAAAAATAACAGCGACCTACGTTTTATTTTATAATTAATTATTTTTAGGAAAAAAAGTGTATTTATTAGCTTAATTATTTTCAAGAGAATGCTGGTGACTAAGATTTTTCTATGAAATAATAAGATAACATTTTTTTTTTGTTTTTAAGATAATAAATGTGTATGCTTTTTATTTAATACTTATTTTATAAAATAAAAAATTGCATAGAGGATACAGCAAAGCTGGCAAGATAAATATTGAAACACGAATATGCCTTTTTCTCCTTTTGTTAAAAAAATTATCAAGGGAGAAGAATCAGATCGAACACAAACAGATACTACTAATGAAGTTTGATGGTATTACGTAGAACGACACGAGAGAACTTGCGTTCTATTTGTTTAGGTAAAAGGAATCAATTTGAGAAGAAGAAAAAAAGATATTTCTTTAATGAAAAATCAAAATATATAAAATTATGTTCAAGTTTATGTATTAAATTAGACAACATATATTATATATAAGTAGTAATATTTATTGAATAAAAACATTTAATGTTATATTTATTAAGCGCAATAAATAATCACTTTAAATGTTATTATTGAAGTGTGTGTGAGTATATATATATATATATATAAGTGAGATTTTATTACACTGTTATAAGTCTAAAAACTCTTTCATTTAAAGCAGATTAATTACTGTTATAAGTCTAAAAACTCTTTCATTTAAAGTAGATTAATTACTGACGTAGAAAGATTCTTCTATATATATATTTAATAAAATTATTAAATATACTAAATGCTTATTAAATGTATGAATCTTTATATTAATAAAATATATTTATTACAAAATTAAATATAAAAAATACAAACTAGAAATTTATTTTTATTATTATTTAGAAAATTGAATTTATAAAATATGTTATATAGTAAAAAGTGAAATAGATACTATATTTTGTTATGAATAATTTATCGTATGTTAAATTGGTAAATGTGACATTACTTAAAAAATTATGAATCGTTATCGAGCAGAATAAAAAATATACGTTTTACATTAAAAAAATATATAATTTCTGATATAATATTTAAAGAACTATACAAATATAGTTACCTTTGATACACTTTATTTTTAACTATAATATCACTAAAAAATTAACAATTTGTATTATTGATCTTAGTATAAAGATCCTATTATATTAAAAAATATATATAATAAATTATAAATTAATAAAAATATTATTTAATTAGCTTTTTATATATAAACTCTTTTTTTATATATTTAAACAAGCTATTACCATTCGCAGAAAATGTATCATTAGTTTCTTTTAGTAAAATTTCTGAGTCATCTTTATTTTTTAATTTAAGTTCAATTTTAATTAATTATGTATTCAAATCTAAATTTTAAAATTCTTACAAAATTGAAAAGAAGTCATGCAATGTATTATGCACATTCTTTATTACTCACCGAGAAGCAGCATTAATTTCATGCCTAAAATTTGTATACAAGACACTTTTTTGTAAAGAAAAGGTGAACACCTTTGACCTGAAAATAGATTTGACAATAAGAGGATAATTCGATTCTTTCTTTTTTCTTTAATTTTTCATAAATCCAAAAATATAAATAAATAAATAAAAAGAAACCTCTAGCGTATAACTGTCTGTGGTCCCTTTCTTCAAAGCTTTATATGCATTTTGTTCTTCTCTTTATCTCTCTCGTTCTTTCTTCCGTTCTGTGAATTTGTGTGCATTGTCCCTGCAGAAAAAGAGCTTCCAAAATGGTGAACGCTGCTATAGCTCGTAACGTTGTCGGCGTAATAGGTTCGTTTCGTCACTCTCTGAATCGCAACATGAAGAATTTTGTGTGGCTTTCACCACCGTCATCGTCAATGCGCGATCAGTGCTTTTCGTTCCAGTTTTGATTTGCATTGATTGTGTTTGTTTTGGTTGAAATCAGAGAACGTGGTCTTGCGAAGCAAATTTTCACTTCAGTTTTAACTGCTTTTGCGTTCTAGTCTTTTCTCTGTTTGTTAATCGATTTATAGTTGAAAAATTAATTAGAAATATAGTAGCAACTACTTTTGATCCGTTTAGCATTGTCATCACGTGTGTTCTGAGCGAATTCGCTTTTTCTTTGCAGGCAATATCATCTCCTTTGGCATGTTCTTCTCACCAGCGTAAACACTTTCTCTGTTTACTCTGTTTTTCTTTTACTAATTTGTTTTGTGTGCATCATTGAAACGCTGCATGATTTGTAGCCGGTTTCTTTAATTCATCCAGTGATTTAACAAAATTATTGTATATATTTTAGAAAAATATTAATAAGTACTTAATGATACTGGTTAAGAATAAATAAATAACATATCATATAAAATATATTTACCGTAATTTTCTCTGCGTTTTTCTTCTTTTGATTTATATAAGTACTGATTAGTAAGATGCTATCTTTAAATAATTGCATAAATTTTTACTTTATATAAATGTTTCAAACTGGAAACTGTTCATTCCGATTCAAAATATATGTCGTTTAAGTTTAGTTTCAACTATTAGAATAACAGTAATTGTTTTATTCCTTATTGAAATGCTGAAACACTATGTCTCTATTTGTTCTTTCTCATTTCATTTAGTGAAATTAATAAAAATAAAGATAAACTTGAAAAAACTAATATATATTTTTTGGGATAAACCCTAAAACACATTTTGAAATGGGGGTAATGTATCTATTTTTATGAATTTATGTATACACTGAGTATACAAAGAAATCATTAATGATTAAAGTGCACTTTTATATTTTATATATTTATTTATTAGACTGTTCAAATGAATTGCAGTCCAACATTCTATGGAATTGTAAAGAAGAAGGCAGTGGAGGAGTTCAAGCCAGATCCTTACATAGCTACGGTGCTGAATTGTGCGTTTTGGGTGTTTTATGGAATGCCTTTTGTGCACCCTCACAGCATTTTAGTCCTCACCATCAATAGCGTTGGCCTTGCCTTCGAATTTGTCTATCTTACCATATTTTATATCTATGCTCCAAACAAAGGACGGGTGCGTATGTTTCCTCTCTGGTTATCACATTCATTTCTTCATTTATCATCCCCACTTGAATACCTGATTCTCTTTGCTAATAATGTAATGTCTAGAATCGCCTATAACCCCTCTTTTTGACTCTTGAGTCGTGAATCCTTTCCAAATATCAACCTCCCGTGATTGTTTGTTGGTTTTTATTCCCTCTAAATCGGGAAATTTTTTGGTAATTCTTGGTGAGTTCTTCTAATTTAGTAGTATGAACATATATCAAACCCATTTTATTCCTGCTTGTTTTTAACTTTTTTTATAAAACTCTTTTAAATATATTTTATGGTCCTTACTGTAAGATTACGGAGTTTTAGAAGTTAAGTTTTCTATATTGTTCTTGCTCTTGTAAGTCCCAATAAATAAATAAATAAATAAATAAATATATATATATATATATAATATTTTAGAAGTATTTATTACTTTTCTCTTGTTTACTTTTCATAAACATTAAACTTTTTAATACTAAATATGATAATAAAGTTTGAAAATAAATTTAAAATATCGTAGTCAACTTTTCAAAATTCATTGCAATAACTAATTTTAACTTTTTTTTTTATTTGTGTAATTTATTTGAAAGAGTCATGTGAATAGTATTGGATGGGGTATATAAATAATCAATTTTTGTTAACATTAACTTTTAGAACTAATTTTAAACATACAAAAAAATTATTAAAAATATTTTTTATTAAAAATAGTATAAAAACATAATAAATATTTATAATAAAATTTTATTAATAATAATTAAATAAACGTAGCCGAGACTAGAATTGATGTTTTTTATAAATCATTTGCACATGTAGAGTTTAATGTTGTGTCATTTCATTGTGGAGTCTTAATAATAAAATGAGCTTGACTATGAAAATAACCATTTAAAATGTCAAAAGTAAATTAAACTTGTCAAAGTTGTAAGTCATGCTACTTGAGAGTCACTGGTAGGAGAACACATTTTAAGAGTTTAAATATAATTTTGCTTTACATCATGTGTCAATGCATTTGATATTTTTGGAAGTTATTATAATTATACTCCGAGCAGAATTGATTAAGTAATACTACAATTTAGCCGGTCTTAGTTAGATGCCATATTTCGTGTCATGTGTGAGTTAATAATCCCTTAAGTGGAGGTAACTCTGCTGTCGTTTTACTATAAACAAATATGCTGGTCAGGGATACCGCACCGTAGGACTGACGTGGCAGAGGTCACATATTTAGTACCGTCAACTTTTAATTTGTTAGTTTATTAGATGTTAAACACATTTCTTTCGTCCCTTTAATTCCTTGCTTAATTTTACTCATATTTTTAATAAAATGGTCGATAAAAGGTACTTTTTTATATCAATTTATATACTTTATTATTATAAATAAAATTAATTTTATTAATTTGCACATATTACGGAAAAGAATGTAAATTGACATAACTGACTCAACTTGCATCCATATAGTCATTTGATATTCCATGAAGAGATACATTAATTGTATGATAAATTTTTACATTTTTATATATTAGATAGATAAGAGAGAGAAAAGAGAGAGAGAATAAAGTAATAAGATAGGTAATGTGTAGAAAAAAAATTGTAAAATTTTTTTGTAGAAATTTGTTATAAAAATATTATAATTCGTTGATGAAACGGTGGATGTAAATTATAATATATTAATAATGATTATATATATATATATAGGGAACACTAAATGAAAGTTTTATAACTCTCACCAGTTTAAAATGATTATTATTTTGCAAATTGGATTTCATATTTCACTGAATTAATGATCACATCACTTATCAATTTGCTTACTAACAAAGTTAACATAATGGATACGATGCATACCCCTAATCAATTCTATATCACGTTTAAAGAGATACAATGCACAGTCGATTAGATTAAAGAAACTTGGTTCTTTCTAATGTTCTGCTTTCTCTTTGTTCGATTAGCTTTAAAGTCCCAAAACAATGTTTCGATTAAACGTTACGACTCACTGTCTCTCCCCTAAATTCAGAAAAAGGTACTACTTTTTCTTCTCATCGAGGTTATTTTCTTTGCCGCCGTTGTTCTTGTAACATTGCTGGCACTGCATGAGACTCGCCAAAGATCGCTCGTGGTTGGTATTCTTTCTGACGTCTTCAATGTTATGATGTATGTTGCTCCTCTTACGATCATGGTAAGTCTTTTTATTATTTTTTATCCAATTACTTCATATACAGAGTCAGAGATTCATACATGAATTATTTATTCATAAAATTTTCACACCAACTTATCCGTCTTATTGTATATATGATGAACAGGCAAAGGTTATAAAAACAAAGAGTGTGAAATACATGCCATTCTGGCTCTCTCTGGCTAACTTCCTTAATGGTGTGTGCTGGACAACATATGCTCTAATCCACCCCTTTGACCTCTATGTCCTGGTAAATTTTTTACTTCACTTTTCAAGTTGTTCTCTCCTCTGCATCGTTTCTATTTCTTGTCAAACATTGATTCATTGTTGTTCTTGAATGATATGTTTTTACCCATTGTTACCTTGGTACATTCTTGCAGATCAGCAACGGTATCGGTGCAATCGCTGGGTTTGCTCAGCTCGTACTATATGCTTGCTACTGCTCCAGCAAGAGTGAAGATGATGATGACGATCATGACTTGAAACCAACTGGGGTTCAACTCTCCAATTTAAACGGAAGAGTTGCAGTCTGATGACACATCTAACATCAAACCTTTCTTTGTTCTAAACTTTTACTACTTCTATCTGTCCCTTAAATTTCAATGGCAAAAAATGAAATTATATATATAAATATCTGCTGTTGCTGCTTTTATAATATGCGTGTGGATGATGATGCAATACATATAGTTGAGAACTATATATTTTTCATTTTCAACTTCTGAAATTGTAAACTCGGAAATGTACATGTTTTCTCAGACCATGATTCCCAACTGAGAGATATTTACCAAGCCACCTTAGTTAGCCTGCCTAGTATATTGAGTTAACATTTTGTTTAATCCGCTGCTTGCATTTTTGTTTTATGACACTGTAAAATATTATATACTGAGTATATAATATTTTAAAAAATTCTATCTACTTTAATTCTTTTTAAAATCAAATGATAGTAAAATATAAAGTATAAAGAGATTAAAATGAATTTTTTTGATAAAGTTCAACACTAATAAAAGGTTTTAAATTTGAAGTGTATCACTCTTATAATTTTGAAGACTAATTTAGAGTTTGCCTAATTTTTTTGCCATACAATTCACAATTATAAATTCTATACTAATGAAACCAGTCTTGGTGAGGATTAAAAAAAGTTTTATTTTTTTTTTCTATCATGTTTTTCTTAAACTTTCGAAAGTAATGACTTGTAGAAAAATGTCCAAAACTTCCACCTCGAGGATGATCTAAAACTTCTTTAATTAGACCTTTTCCAACAAATAAATCAATTAAATTAGTGTTCAACTCATTTCCTTGTGTTTATATCAATTAAATTTGTGTTTAAACTATTTCCGTAAAAATAATATAAATTACGGAATACATGCATGCTTTTTAAATTACAACATCGACAGAAAGATCACATCAAAAAAATTAAAAAAACCTTTTCTAAAAATTTTTCTAATGTTATATGCTCCATGTTTATGTTTCCATTCTTGTTTTTCATCTTACTGTTAATTTCTTCCTTAATTTCAGAGAAACTTTTACAGTTTCTGAAAAATTGGGATTATTTTCTACGTTGTCGTTTTTGCCGTAGAAATATTCTGTGCATAGTGCTAACCAAAACTCGATAATGGTTGATACTTTCCTTGATACCTTCGAAGACTTAGTGTATTCGTGTCCTATTATTATCATGGTAAGTACTTTATTAATTTCCATGCCATAATTACATTAATTATGAGATCATACACATTCATTTGTATATAAACACTTTAACTTATACCTTGATTTTGGTTTCTATCTATGATTAATAGGCAAAGGTTGTAAGAAAAAAGAGCCCAAAGAAATACTTTATTTTCTGGCTCACACTTGCCAACTTTTATGGTTTGTGCTGGACAAGATCTGCCATTATCCACCCCTTTAGTATTCAACTTCTGGTAATAGCTACCTCACTTTCTTTATCATTCTAGTTTTTTTTAGTAAAATATGTTTTTAAAGACTATAAATATGTTAATTCAGTTTTAATATTCTAAAAAGAATTATTAGTTTGAACAATTAAATATGAGGGTCATATATCATTTTTTGAACAGTAAAATGTATCGTATATATATCTTTGTTATGTTTATATTAATTGTTAAATGAAAAGTTAAGATAAATAACTTAAAATGAGAGAAACTGAAAGAGTACTTGAATTAAAATATTAAAAAAATATAATTCAGTTAAGTCTTAAGTTTTTTAAAGTAATTCACGTCATTACTTATTAAATATCTATGACATGACATACCTTTAAAAGTATGGTTGCTAATTTCACGTGCATGTTAAGTTAATCAGTTATCATTATAGGACGCTAATAAGATCTATTTTAAAACGTTTTGAAATATTTTTAGGACACATAAGAAATTAAATTTAAATTATATTAATAGAGATTAAAAATATATCTAATTTTTTTATATGGTTACCTCTCTTATATAATATACTCTCTCCAATCCTTTTTATAAGAAATAAAAGACTAAATCACCAGAGTTAAGGAAAACAAATAATTCTGTTATGTTTTTTATAAATATAAATTTTATTCTAAAAATATCTATGATATTAGATGGTATAGTTAATAATTTGTATATTTAATAATACTAATTAAAAAAAAGTATAAAAGAAATTTAACAATTAATGCATCTTGAATCTATTATTTGTTTTTTATAATAAGGATCAAGAAAATGCTCTATTTTGTTTCTTATAAAAAAACCGGAAGAAGTATTATTGCATGTCATCACCAGTTTCCTAACAATTGGATATCTTCGCATGCTACTAAGTGTTTACCATTGGTTATCATGATTTATGGGATTCGAATGCAAGTTTGAGCATATTTATTTTTCTTTTTAAAAATAGTTTATTTTTAAAAATTAAAAATAATATAAATTTATATTATATTATATTTTTAAAAATAAAATATAAATTAAAAAATAAACATGCTCTAATTTTTTTTATGCATTTACATTTCTTTATATCACACTTTTATATATATGGCTTAACGAGATTCAAAATATATATAGATGCGTGATCTTTTCACACTAGTATAAGTTTTAAAACTCTTACACTTGATTTGAATCTTTCATTTAACTTACATTTAACGAGTTATAATTTATTATTTTTAAAAATTTGAGACCTTACTTAAGCGATATCAAGCCGATTGTCACTTAAACTTGAAACCTTGCTTATTTAACCTTTATTTTGATTGATTAATAAATTAGTTATCATGAGAGCTACCTAAAATGCCAAACCTAGACCTTGTTAAGGATTCTTTATCTTTACTAAAGCTTGTAATGTTACTATTATTCTTGAGTTGTACAGGTTTCTTCTTAATAGACTTCTTCACTAGCATCCAAAGGCCAAATCTACTATGCTCCTCCCTAGAGATATCCTCTTGAACAATCTGAATAGTATCCCTAGATTGGATCTCTATCTCTATATTGCTGGGAGCAAGGTCTATTATTGTATCGGGGCTATTGGCTAGAGGACTAGGTTCTGAAAGTCATGCATATAGCTTAGAATTTTCATTATAAAACTCTACCCTGTGCCCATACTTATAACACTGAAAACAAATCAAATGTAGCCCTCGTACTCTACTTTAAACTATTGACCTAGGACTTTAAACAATAGAATCAACTTCCTATTTAGATCAAGTTCAACACAGAGCCTATCAAACTTTTTCCTAGAAAGTAAGGAGGTGTAAGGGTCTATTTTTAACATAGTTCCTAAGTAGGCATCAACTTGCCAGAAAAATTTCTCATTATATAGTTCAAGAGGCAAATTAGGAACATGAACCCACACATTAATCTTTCTAGGACAGAAATCTTGAGGCCTAAATAAAGGCCTCTACCTCTAAATAAGGAGGTAGTGATCTAATATTAGCCAAGGACCCTTAGAGAGGGCATGTTTATAATTGTCAAGATTGTCAAATTTCAAAAAAAATTATTATTAAGGGCCATAATTTTTAGATTACCATTTTTGTCCTAGATATTATTAAATTTCTAATTAAGGAAGTTAAAACTAATGGTTTTCCCTAAAAGCTTCACAATTGTAAATTTCCATGGGTTACACCATAATTCATAGTTTTCTAGAGGGACTTTTATTTTAGGGCAGAGGTTCTGAACCTCAGATTCCTCTGTGACCATTTAATCTAATTCTTGAGAGAGATTTAACTCTTCCAAAACTAATTTTATTATTTCTTTATCATTAAAACTCATACCTATATCATTATCAGTCATTACTTTCTCTTTATACGACATGTAAAGGGAAGACTTAGGGAAAGAAAACACCTGATTAAAAGAAAGTGTGTTGCTATTTTGTCCTTGTACAAACAGATCTACCTCATCCATGGTGTTATCTAAACTTGTTTTGACTTTCTTCGTGCTTTGAACCATCAGATTTAGTTCTTCTTTAGATTGCATTTTATCTTAAGCAAGATCCATGAATTTCAAGCTTTCTTCAACTTTCAAAGCTCGACCTCAGGAACCCTCTATGATGTCGCTCACTATCCTTGCAAAACAAGCCACCAGGAGTTCAGCGACGCAATGCTTTTAAAAGGAACACCCTAAGGCAGAAAAATCCTAGCAAATGGATAAAGAAGTCTCTCGACGTATTAAAGACGCTATCTTAGAGAAAGAAAACTCAACCGACAATCTCCAGTCTGAGGCTAGATTTATTTTTATACATAAATTATAAATCACTTTTAATTTTGATTTTATAACATTTAAAATAAAGAAACCATATGTTAACATTACGTATGAATTTTATTATTTATTTATAGTTATTATTTAGAGAGAAAATAAGAGATAATTAAAAATTTATTAACAACAATTTATTGAGACGAATTTAAAAAAATATTAATATTCATATATAATATATAAATAACAATAATGATGATAAAAATAAAAATAAATTTAATATTACATCTAATTTCTTGTATTTATTTACATAATTTTAAAGTAACTCAAGTACACGTAGCATTTACCACGCATAAAAATGAAAAATTGAAATATTATGATAATTATAATATAAAAAAATATTATTCTTTTTTTAAAAATTAAACAAATACATTAACAACTTTTAAAAGTTGAAATAGATGGGCTTGTTTGTGTTGTCACAACTGATTGTAGATTTGATTAGGAGGATAATTATCTTTTTTTAACAAATAAAAACAAAAAATCTTTGTTTAGAAGAGGATAAGCATATCTCTCAACAGAATTATCATTCTTATAAAAAAAAAAAACTCTTTATAAAGAATGTGATAGCTGTTCCCGATTCAAAGCTCAAACATCCCATTCTTTCAACGAGTTTCTGACTCAAAACTCTTTGCGTTCCAAGATGATGAATGCTGCAGTAGCTCGCAACGTCGTTGGGATCATAGGTTCATTTTCACTTTCAATAGCAATGCCGTTCATTCATGACCAAAGTTTCTCTTCAATTTTTTGCTTCAAAACAGTTCTAAATTCATTTTTATTTTAATGTTACTAATTTCAATTTTTGTATTGAATCTACGTTTTTAGGTTTTTTAAACGTTTCCAAGTAGATTTTTATGTATAGAAACACCTGTGAAAACCTAGATATGATTTAAAGCAAAGATTATAAATAGTAATGTTTTAATAAGCCTTACATTCATACTTGTTCAAATAAACTTTGATTTCTAATCAATTTATGGATGGAAAAAAATCGTTCGATTAAGAGTGGCCAAAGCTAAGATCTTTGTGTTTACGTGTTGTGATCATTCTTCGCAGGCAATGTCATCTCCTTCTTTTTGTTCTTCTCCCCAGCGTAAGCTCTCTTTCACCGTTAAAGCGACTACAACTTCAATTATAATATCATGCACTGTTTTATATTTTGAATTTAATTTCTCCAAAGCAATCCAATACATAAAATGAGAATCTACCTACTGTTTTTATAAATATAAATTTTAAATTAACAAACAAATTAATTATCATTTTTTAATTTAGCTGTGGTGTAGTATAAATTGAACTGTGTAGATAGATAATGGGTTATTTGAATGAATTGCAGTCCAACCTTCTATAAAATTATAAAGAATAGATCAGTGGAGGAGTTCAAGCCTGATCCCTACATAGCTACGTTGTTGAACTGTGCGTTTTGGGTGTTCTATGGAATGCCTTTTGTGCATCCTCACAGCATTTTAGTGGTCACCATCAATGCCATTGGGCTTGTGATTGAGTTCGTATATATTGCCATTTATTTTACCTATGCTACCAAAAATGGACGGGTGAGTATTACGCTTCCTCTTTGATTTTTGTTATTTCATCACTTATTGGTATTAATTGTGGCCATTTTTTAATATAAATGTGTTATAGATTCTTTTTTTAAAAGGAAATTTAAACATGTTCATAACATAATAAACAATTTGTACTGTATAAGGATTATAAATATGGTTTTTATATTAATTGTTTTTTTAAATGAAAGTATAAACGATAAGGCATTTGTGTGAAATTATTTATTAAAGTATATTAATAACCTTTCTATTAATCATTGATGTTACTTGAATGAGCACTATAAATGAATTAAAACACATAATGCACTCTTAGTTCTGCTTTCTCACTGTTTCTTCTCTGATTTTCTCTGATTTCAGATAAAAGTGATGATTTCTCTTTCGGTCGAGGTTATTTTCTTTGCTGCAGTCGTTCTTGTAACAATGCGGGCACTGCATAGCATTCCCCAAAGGTCGTTAGTCATTGGTATTATCTGTGATGTCTTCAATGTCATGATGTATGTCTCTCCTCTTACAATAATGGTAAGTCTTTTATTAATCTATATCGCATTATGTGATTATTCATTTTTTAAATAATTTTGTTAATCTTATTCTTAAATTGAATTTAAACATATAAAAATAGTATATCTTTACTAAGAAAGAATATATTTATTATGTTAACAGTTTTTAAAGAGTAATAAATATTTTTTAAAATCAAATCTTACTATTACTAATTACTTAAATTCAATTTAAAGGGTTGAGATTAATATTTTTCTTTTTTAAAAAATCAAAATGCATATATCTTAAATTGATTATATTTTAAAATTACTTTTACTCTTTTAAAAAACTGACTAATCATAAAAGATGCATTGAAATGTGTTTAAGATTAGTTCCTAGCATTCCCCAATAACAATATGAGATCATGCATCCATGTGTAAAAATATTTCACTCCTACTTACCTTGATCATGGTATGTATATGTATATATATAATGAACAGGCAAAGGTTATAAAAACAAAGAGTGTGAGGTATATGCCATTCTGGCTCTCTCTGACTAACTTCCTCAATGGTGTGTGCTGGACAACATATGCTCTCATCCACCCCTTTGACCTTTTTGTTCTGGTAAATTATTTACTTCACTTTTCAACTTGTTCTCTTCTCTGTATTGTTTCTATTTCTTGTGAATCATTGAAGTTCTTGAATGAAATTTGTTTTTCACCCATTGTTACCTTCTTATATTCTTGCAGATTAGCAATGGTATTGGATCAATCTCTGGACTTGTTCAGCTCATATTATATGCTTGCTACTGCTGTAGGGAACAAAATGATGATGATAATGATGATGGTGATCATGTTCCACAGTCAACAAGGGTTCCAGTCTCAGAAAGGACCCCTCAAGCCCAAGCTTAATTTCTTTCTTCTCAATCTCATCAATTACTCCTTTTTATCTTCTGTCACATGCATGATTTTATAATATGCATCATGCAAGTGATGCATACATATATATAGTTTAAAACAGTCCAAATTTTTTTCTTTTAGCTTCGGGAATCCTCAAGTAGAATAGATAGAATTTTTTTACCAATTGGATTTTGATGTATATTACATTATGTGTCACGTTGTATTCGCTGCTTTCATTTATAAGTTTCATACAATAAAATATTGCACGTAGAACAGTACATATTTCACATATAGAAATTGTGATGGAAGATTGATTACATACTCAGTTTAACTCTTGAAATTGTAAAAATCATCAATTAAATCCTTAATTTTTAAGTTATACATTAGTGTTTAATTTTAGACATACCTAAATGATAATATTCTATAAACATTGACTCAGTGTTAGACACAAATAAGAGGCTAATATTCCATAAAAGTTTTAAAAGGAGATTATACATACATATTACACTACCATTTAACCTTCCTATATAAACTCAACAAAAAAGCACCTAGGAATCAAAATAGGACCACAAATATCATTTAACCTTCCTTCTTTAAAAGTGGATTAACACTTACTCTTCAAACTACATACAAATTTACTTCAAAAAACAATGGCTTCGGATTCGTATCTTCTGTAAAATGTTTTAGGCATAACCTTTTTTTAACGAACTTTGATTCCCAGATGTATGTTCAACATTCCGAGAAAATAGATTTCCCAAAAACTATGATTCTCAAAGAACATAATTTCTAAGAATTAAATAAATTCTATCCACTAAACTACCTGTGTCATTTAATATGATATTTTTTTCTTCTTTTGTTTTTGGTCAGTGATGTTTTTTTCTTCTTTAATCGGCTTGAGGGATATCAAAATGGGGTAGTCTGACCCATTCAAGATAGCCAATTATGGGCCAATACTGGACTAAGTTAATTGCTGAATAAAAAGTTACTAGCTTGGCTAAGCCCTTTGTAAGTCGTAGGCCTATCCACTTCACTAAAACCGAAAACCTTGTCAGCATTGAACTAAAGAGTCAATCTTTTTTTTGGCTCATTGTCAAATTTTGTAAAATTAAAACCTAAAAGTCTAGTTACGAGCAAAAAACAAAAACAAAAATTCCTAGTCCAATATAATGAGTAACTTTAAGTTACTTATAAATTAAGTAACTTTTTAAAATAATCGAGAAAATGAATCAATTCAATCTAGACTAAAATTTAATTCAACTCAAAATTTTCAAATTCAAATCATATTTTAAATAGGTCAAACTCAATGACTTAATCTATTTGACAATGCTTATTAACTTAATTATCTTGTCCAATTCATTAGTTTAAATTTTATCCTGAAGGAATTGGATTAGGTGATGTATGATAGGATAAACGATTTTCTCTCCTTACCCTCTCTCTATTTCCACAACCAATGTCCCTAAGCTTTGCCATAATAATATTTAACATATCAAACATTAGAGTTGAGCACAAATCGAATTCAGAAGATAAAAATGACCTGACCAATTAAATGAAATCATGTCAAGTCAAGTTATTTTACAAATTTTAGTATTCAACCTAAATTAAAATTAATTTAAATCAAGTCATTAAGGATTTATTTAGTTTAAGTTATAACTAAAGTTAAACATTTTTTTCAAGATATCGGACATTTAGATGTTAAATTTTTCAATGTAAAACTTTTTTAATTCTCAATAATTCTATTTAGTGTGTCATTCAAATAAATTAAATTTTATTTGAGTAAAATTATGAATAAGTCCTCATAAGAAAAATAAATAATTTTTTAATAAATTAAAAATAACTTATCTTTTCAAGTTTTTAATAAAATTTAAATGAGATTAATTTCTAAAAAAATAGAGAAATATAAGTTAATTTTAATTTATAAGATGAGTTTTATTTTTTTATCTTATTTTTCTTTTCTTATAATAGCTTATCCACAAGTTTACTGAAAAATTATCTTAATCTTTAATATTTTTAAAAATTAAAGTTTCAAAATGTTAATATTTTAATAAGTATTTAAAATTATGCCATAAAATGTACACGATCTTTGTTAACTTCTTCAATATTTGATTAAATGTATTAAAAATTAATTATTAAAAAAATGTGTACTTTGCATGGGGCCAATGTAATATTATCTTATCCCCGATGGATCAAGATGAATGGATGATGATGTTCCCCAATGGTTACCCTTTTTGCAGCCATCCCTTACAAAACACAAACCTTAACTTTCGTCCAAAACCTTATCTAACAACTTCCACTGTCTCTCACATGACATTTGTTTTGACATAATTTCAATGGCAGCCATCATCTCATGCCACTACTATGCTTCAGCAGCCACTACCCTTAGTCCAAGATTGTTCAACTCAGACAATGCACACTCTAGGCGTTTACCTTACCCTCTCTCTCTTACCAATGCTTCACTTCGAGGTTTCAATGTTCGTTGCTCTTACCAACCACCCCAACATTCTGAATTTCAGAATAAATATGTAAGTCTCTTAAAAATTTGATCTTTTTCTTTTAAATTCTCTTTGTTACACATGATTGAAGATTATGCACTTCTTGGGTGGCGATATGATACCCCATTAGCAACATTTTAGGTTAATCTTCTTCAGGATGGATTTTTGGGAGATGAATTTTGTTTGCATTTTACTGTTCTTTTGTTCATCTCATGTTTGTAAACATTAAGTTGTTCAACAAAAATGAGAATTGTAGAACTGAATTACACAAGAAAAAAGGATTGCAAGAGAAAAAAAAAATAGTGTACTTTGCTACTAATACTAATCACTTCCTGTGCCTAAAGCTTCAATCTACAGTGGTACTTGCATTTTTGTAGGAGTATTTGGAAAAACTTAGAAAAATAACTCATGACTCGGATAACATATTTTTAGCTTATTTAAATATATTTTTTTTGGTATAGCTTGTCAAATTAAACCATTTTCAGCTTATTTCAATAAGTTTCATAACTGAATTCACGACATTAGCCATCATTTAAAAGGAGCTTATTAAATAAGCACCTAATTAAGCTTTATAGCCAAACGCATCCTAAATACTGAATAGTTATGAATCATATTCTTTGTTAAATTTATGAGTTGTGATCTGTATGTACTTCGTGTTAAGTTGTTATGTATTTTGTTTATTTTTTATTTACCTTATCTTCTCGTGTTTACTATGTGACTATTGCTGCAAATGATTGCAGCCCCAAAGCTTACTGTGTTACATTTTGATGCAGAATGGGAGGCCATTTTCCTTTAAGCGGTGCGCGATATCTATAGCACTAGCAGTTGGGTTAATAACAGCAGTTCCTACATTAGGGTGGCCTAACAATGCTCAAGCTGCTTACCCCGTGTTGCCTGATCTGTCTGTTTTGATATCTGGACCACCAATTAAGGACCCTGGAGCATTGTTGAGATATGCACTTCCTATTGACAATAAGGCAATTAGAGAAGTACAAAAGCCACTTGAAGATATTACAGATAGTCTCAAGGTCGCTGGAGTCAAGGCACTTGACTCTGTGGAAAGAGTAAGACATAAGAATCTTGTTTTCTTATCTGTACAAGTGCATTGCCTATACAGATTGTGTATGAGATTTTGTCCTTTTTTCTCTGTAAGTGTAGATATTGATTTACTATATATGGAATGTAGAATACAAGGCAGGCATCCCGGGCTCTCAAGCAAGGGAAGTCTTTAATTGTGTCAGGTTTAGCTGAGTCAAAGAAAGAACATGGAGTTGAACTGCTTAGTAAGCTGGAAGCTGGTATAGATGAGCTGGAACTGATAGTGCAGGATAGAAATAGAGATGCAGTTGCACCAAAACAGAAAGAGCTTCTCCAATATGTTGGAGGGTAAGTATGTGATCAATTACTAAATCACTTACATAAACCACACAAAGGACCCTATTCTTCCATACATGTGCTCAATGAGAAATAGTATGGATTTTTCTTTTCTTCCTTGGAAGAAATAAAATATGAATTTGTGGATTCATTAAATTTTTCACTTTTTTCTCTGTCAAGATGAATTATACTGTTAAGTGTTTGTTCTATCTGCCAGTCACTGAAGTCTGTGACTATGATTATCATTAGGATTTAGAAAATTTATGTAGGTGTACCATGGCAGTATGAAGCAATTCATGTTCATTAATTACACCATAGGAACTGCCAGAAGGAGGTCTGTGTCAAGGGTTATTTGCTTCAGTGATATAAAGAAGCTTTAGCTTAAATCTATGGGACAAAGTAATTTAGCCTTGACTATATGTCAAACTCAGAAAGCTGCACTATTGTTACAACCAGTAGATCACCAGTGAATAGAGTTGTCTACTTGTCCTGTTTATAAGTAACCAAACTGTGCCTAACCCAATGTTTGACTTACTGTGCTACAAGAGGTCAAGTTTAATCAAATAGCCATTGAAAATAATTTGTTTGGACAACCTAATAATCAAATTAGCATGATCCCTCTAGACTCAGTTGGTTGTAAAACCTGCTTAGTTTGATCTTCTTTGACTTGGCTGAATCCAAACCCAGTCCTATTACTGAGCAAGCTTTCCCAAGCCTCTTCTGACCTGGTTCACCGGTCTTAATTACCAAGCTGGGTTATATAACTATGCTATTCATTCATGTTGATGGAAAATCCTGCGTTTGACTTCTTCTGACTGGGTTGAATGCAATCCCATTTCAATTAGAGAACTAAACCACCCTGGCCTCTGGATCACTGCGATGGGCTGAGTTTTATACAATGCATGTGGGGCTAAATTGACATGATGTCAGATGTTCTCAAAAACTGAATCCTCCTTGTATTCTAACAACTGAAAATTGAGGAGGACTTGGAAAATTAATCTTCTTGAGAAAGACTTTTCTCATATAGAACCTTTCATTGACTGCAGCTGAGATGTTCCTGGGGCATTGCATTTCTGCAGTGTTGAAGAAGACATGGTTGATGGCTTCCCATATCAAGTGCCTGAGGAATACCAAAATATGCCTTTATTGAAGGGGAGAGCAGCAGTGGATATGAAGGTCAAGATTAAAGACAATCCAAATGTGGATAATTGTGTTTTTCACATAGTTCTTGATGGTTATAATGCCCCTGTAACCGCTGGAAATTTTGTTGACTTGGTACAAAGGCACTTCTATGATGGCATGGAAATCCAGAGAGGTAATCAATTTTATCTTTGTTGGACATTATTTTTTGCTTTTGATTTCCCATTTAGCTACAGCTGATTTGGTAAAGAATGCTTTAGACCATTTCCAGGAACATTTTAGAACATAGATACTAGGTATACTAGTTTCACTCATTGCACAGAACCACAAATGCAGGAAATGACATGGAAGGATGTATACATTTATATTTTTAACCCTTCATGGGACTGAATTAACAGTATTTTATCTTATGTGATGGAAGCTGAATGATCTTTTACCATTATTGATATCCATGTGAATTTTATTTTTTCAAATTTTTATTTTTTGTGCAGCGGATGGGTTTGTTGTCCAAACTGGTGATCCTGAAGGTCCTGCTGAGGGTTTTATTGATCCAAGTACAGAGAAAACCAGGACAATACCTTTAGAAATTATGGTGAATGGAGAAAAGGCACCTTTGTATGGAGCAACTTTAGAGGTTATCTTCAATTGATTATTGCTCTTGGGCATATTATATATTTGTTCATTTGCATCTGTATAATACTAAAATGTGTTAGCAAGCTGATCCTGGAGTGTGTTTGTGAGTAAGAGAATTACAAGTAAGAGGTCCTCCACCTTCTTTACTGTCCCAGGATTCACCGATTCCACTGTTTTATTTCTAAACTGCAATATGGAATCATTTTTTGGCTTGCGCATAGGCTTGAATGTGTCAAGGGAGAAAGAAAAGGAAAGAAAGTGGTGTATGGTTTATCTAATTACTTACTGAGTCAAAACAGAAAAACATAGATAAGGAGAGAGGTTTTTCATAGACCTGATATGACAAAATCAAGTGATATTCTATTCTTATCTTTCAAACCATGTTCAGTATTTTGCAATCTTTTTCATACCTATTGAGGTCTGTACCACAATACTTGTTTTATGATCAGAAGAAATAAGAGTTCTTTACCACTACTAGTTTCTTGCATGAAGTTTTGCTGCATAATGTGATATTATTTTATATTTTCAAAATATGATGTTCATATTTTCTCAAGGTTGAAAATTTTCTCTTTTGTGGTTAACAATAATCTGTTTGGACAGGAGCTTGGTCTCTACAAGGCTCAAACAAAGCTTCCATTTAATGCATTTGGTACTATGGCAATGGCAAGAGATGTGAGAATCTTCTTTAACGTGGCTATTCTTTAAACACATTAATCATTTTTTTAGCTTTAATTTACTCCTCTGATGTTGTTGAATAGGAATTTGAGAACAACTCTGCCTCTAGCCAGGTATTTTGGCTATTGAAAGAAAGTGAGCTAACTCCTAGTAATGCCAATATATTGGATGGTAGATATGCAGTTTTTGGCTATGTAACAGAAAATGAGGATTACTTGGCAGACCTCAAGGTTGGTGATGTCATAGAATCTATTCAAGTAGTTTCTGGCCTGGATAATTTGGTGAATCCAAGCTACAAGATTGCTGGCTAGTGATGTTTCTGTGCTTTTGCTATTAAATACTGCAAGAGTGTTTATTGGCACTTGCTTCAAGGCTATTCAAGAATGGTGGCTATTGCATTGCGAAGTTCACTTCCCCTAGTTTGTTTCCATTATTCTCACAAACCAGTATTCATTTTACCAGAACCTAGCATTCAGTTAAACAGCTTGAGATATTGTGTTCTATTTTAAGACTGAATGATCACCACGGCTTGTAACTTCCATTCAACTAATTCGTCAATAAAATTATGATTGTTCAGTGAGGAAATTGTAGATCATACTCATACAGTTTCTAACATTCATGTTTTGGAGTTATTCTGTAAGATCTGAATATGAATTTCAAATCGAACCCTCACTCACTCTCAGTACAGTATTAAAGAGGAAAACTGAAATGTTATTTCATTGCATAAAAACTTAATTGAATATAGAAGGGTGTATATATAACCCTTGTTTCTGGCTATATCCAATTCCCCGCCACTTTCTTAATTCCTAATGACTTAAGCAAATAACCTGTGCCCCACAACTACATTAACCAATTATTAAATTGTTAATAGAACCCCTTTTTTCCACTTATTACAACTATCCCTCTCTTCAAAACGTGGTTTGCCCTCAAGTCCACAAATGCGACTCCCATGGAAAGGTTGGAAATTGCTCTTGCACATCCTGTAGTTCCTTCCAAACTGCATTCTCTGGGTTAGTATGTTCCCATTGGACCAAAACTTCCGTAACCACACGGTTGTCCTTCTTTTTCTTTCTTTTATTGTCACAAAGCTAAGAGAACACTAACTAGCAAGTGTACTAGATAGTTATAGCAAGTAATAAAATTTGAAATTCAATTTGAGTCCCAAGTATCGTCTTTAGGGATTAATTCTATCAATTACTACTTCACAAATTAATAACTAATTAAACTAAATGAATTTTAGAGTGTTTTGAGCATTTGCAAATAAAAGCAATAAAGTGTAAAAATCAGAAAATAACAGCAAAATAGAGTGACAAATTTAGAAATGAATTGATATGTGAATGAAGTTAGGATTGATTTCACCTCTTTATAAATTGCAAAACTGAAGTAGATCTGAACTCTAAGTTTTTTAATTGATTGATGATCAATTTCACTAGATTAATCAAAGTTCAATTCCTTGACTCATTGATCTTAATATTCAATCAACTACTCTAATTCCTTAGGTGTAAATCAATCAAACATTACATTAGGCATTGAAAATTAAGAGATTACAAGATCACGAATTTTTATCCATAACTTTGACATTCAATTCAGATACGAGAAATTAACTTAACTTTTATTGATAAAAATCCTTTAGGTTTAATTCAATTGAATAGCAAATTCAAGAACTACATTAAGAAAAAGAATTAAATATTCAATACAATCAAGATCTTAAAATCCAGATCTACAATCAATTTACAATATCAAAATCGGATCCATCAATCCATAACAAAAAGAAATCAGAACATGTTCATAGAAGAAAAAGAGAGAGAAAGAGTAGAAGAAGAGGAGTTGCAGAATTTCTTCATAAATCCAATATTCAGCCTAATTTCTCAAGGTACAGAGCTTGGAAGTTGCCCCCCAATCTCCCACTCTAACTCTCCTAAGGTGTGAAAATAAAAAATGAGAAAAAGATACAAGTTTCTAGGCTAATATCTTATTTATATATTTAATAATAAAATAAACCAAAAAATTTATTTTGGTTTATATTTTTAAAAGAAAATTTTATTTACTATTTTATATCATTGAATTAGGCTAATATAATTTAATTATTACATAGTTAATATGAGATTGACTTTTTTTAAAATATTATTTATATATGACACAAAATATTTTTTACACATATTTTTGTTAATAAAATCATATTGATATTTAAATCATAAAGTGAATAATAAATATATTGTAAATATTTTATAAATTTTACAATCACCTACTATTATCGTAAGCTTATTATTTATTAATAATATTTAAATTTTATTTTTTATATTTTAATTTAAAATAATATTTTTCTATGCAACATATGTATTACAAGTACAACTATAATTTATTGAATCTAAATAATATTATTCTTACTATTTATTCACGTTCAAAGAAGTTTTTGAAAAGATATAAATATAAAAAATTATTATTAATTTTTATTTGTTAATTTTTTTAGATAAAAAAGTATACTTTTTTTAATATACGCGTATTTTTCTTTATTATAAAATTTTATTGTAACTATTTATCTTTTATTCAAATTCTTTCTTTTAAAATTTATATACATTATAAATATTTAATTCATTAAAATAATTTTTCAAAAATTTGTATTTTTGATAAAATACTTTCGTATAGTATATGAGTTAAAAATACTAGTATTAATATATATATATATATATTAATTATATTATATTATTTTAATTAAATCTATTATTTTTCTTATAATTTCAAATTCAAAAGTTAAAAAAAATATTTTATGTATCCACTTTCTGTTGTTAGTATTGAACTCCTCTACTCTAACTCTATTCTCATTCTCAATATTTGTCTCGTTAAAACCTAACAACTATGAAACGTTATTTATTAGAGTTAGTTGTCAATAACATCACAAGAGGTCACAAAGTGATCCTACACGAAGAGACAATCATTGAACAGATCTATTTCGTTGTCGCTCTGACATTGTCAATCAATCAAATCTCACATAAGATAAGGTTATCATTGACAAATAACTTATGTTTAATTTCGCTTATTGTTTCTAAGAATTTTAGTTTAGAAAATTATTATATTAAGATATATTTAGCATTTATGTTTTTTGAATATTTATTTTTTTATCTATGTTTGTACCTTGTTCGATAACTACATATTGAATTTGTATATTATTATGCTATTTATATGAAATTATATAAACATATTTTTTTACAAATTTTTTTCTCAAACAAGCGCGAGTAATGAGTACAAGATGGATATACAGATACCCAGATAGTACAGGTACGAGGATTAATGTTCATATCCATTGTCATCCCTAATTCTCTTTACATCAGTGTAACTTGTATCTACTTCAAAACACGACTGAAATTATTTAAAAAGAAAAAAGTCTTAAGAAAGCATGCAGTTATGATTATTAAAGAAAAGGTTATGCAGAGAGAGAGATTATTTGATTTGAATAACTGTTCTAAACAGTAATTTAGCTGCCATATTTAGAAGTAGAATAGTTATTTAGTGTATGTTTGTCGTTATATATGCATGCATGTTAAAGGTTGTCTTTCACATATTCTAAAAAATAAAAATAAGAAAGAATAAAGTATCTTTGTTTAGTGGTGGATATTGCACCGTCCAAATTGTATTCCAAGTTTCAAACGTGAGTATGAAAGTCATTGTTTTTCCAAGAGTATACAAATCTTTCTCACCTCCAACATCAGATATGGCTGAGGAAGTTTGATAGAGCTTCTCTCTTAGCTTGTATTCATGTCATTTTCCACACGTTTTGCATATTCTGTGGTTGTGAGCTTCTACCGGGGAAAGAAGCTTTCAACAAAAGTTGAAGTCAACCATATGTGCAGTTGAAGCAGTGCTTAGTGTGACGCAGAGCTGAATAATCAAAAGTGGTTCCATGATCTAAGTGATTCTGTATGTAGTGGAAGTAATGTTAAATGGAGTTTCTTCGGAAGTTTCGAATCCAAAAGGAGGTAGGGAGCTTTTTAGATGCATATCAGAGTCAAAAACAAAGCCCCAATAATGAACTTTTTAGATGACAAAACTGATGGATAATTTGAGGCCGGAATTGGATTTGAGAACATGGTTTGTTTGAGATGATGTAATGAAAACTGTGTCAATTGGTTTATTACATAGAAATCTTTTCGATAAGGGATTAAATGAATTGAAATTTGTTTAACAACTGTTTAAAAAAAAAACTTTTTGTTTAGTAGTGCAAACCGTTCATAGTATTCGTTCACATATGTTAGCATTTTGAGGAGAATTAACATTCCCACGAGATTCACATTTAAATTGTCGTTTAAGATTTTTGACATTAGAGAATTAATTATATTGGGTTTGCTTTACTCAATTTGTTTATGGTGCTTTATGATCTATAGTTTTTATAGGTATCTTCTAACATATTTTCATGGCCAAAAAGGGGCAAAATGAACCACAATCAAATATTTCGAGGAAATATATAATGTTGTCTCGAAATGTTACTTGTCTCCATTTGATCTTTAAAAAAATTTACAGTAGAAATTAATTCATAAAAACATATACTTGTTGACAAGTATATAACTACAGTAATGTAAATTTCAGCAAGTTGACAATTTTAAGGTCAATTGTATAAACAAAAACTTCCCTCCACCTAACGAACATATAACATCTTTTAAGGGCCAAATTGTATATTTATTCCAAATATTATAGGTCACGTCTTTATGCACGAGTAGATCTTGCCAAAACAGATCACTTGTAGGCTCAAAGGACACCAAATGACCCATCAGGACTTTGATATTCGTGCTGGAATAATCCATGCTACTACTGTCAAGTGTACATTTTCTTACATAGAAACATTATATAAATGGGTGCAATGAGGAGACGGCACAATTAGCTTTACAAAAATTATAGCCCAACAAAGTAACAAGTAATTGTAGAGCTCTTTTTCATTAACTATGGCTTTCACACTTTTTTTGTATGCATTCCATCTTGAGTCTTCCTTCCCTATTCCTTCAATGAAATAAAATACAAACTGATTTTCCAGAATACTGTATAACATCCCTCCACAATCGATTTCCTTGACAGTGAAAAATCTTTCAAGGTCCTCGATACCTGCGAAAACAAAAACAACCCTGAGGCTGATCAATAGGGATCATACCTCCACCCTTTGATGTGTCAATAGCTTCCAACATGGACACCACTTCATCCATCTCTGGCCTCTTGTCAGGATTGGCATCCCAGCATCTTTTCATCACATTTGCCAGAGAGCTTGGACAACATCGTGGAATCTCTGGCCTAAGATTCTGCAGTTCCATATAGAATCTATTACAATTTTTAGTAGGGATGTATCAACAGTTATAAAATCATTTGTCCCAGGTTCGAGTCATGGAATTATATATACATAATCTCTAATGATAAGATCTAATGATCCAAATTTGTTCCTCTCACTCCTAAAAAAATTCCTCTCATTTGATGCGTAGCCTATATATATATATATAACTTAATACTGTTCATATACCTGTCGTACAACAGCTGAGGTCACTTCTGAGAAACTAAGGTCAGGATAGGGCATGTCACAGCAGTATATCTCCCATAAGCATATGCCAAAACTGTACACATCACACTTTCTATTGTATGGATTACCATTTAGAACCTGTCCAATTTATTCAGGTAAGTTCCATATACCAATATATAACATCAGAAACTATTCAAACAAAACAAAACATGAACTCCTTATGCAAAGCAGAATATATGTTGAGGGTCATGTATTTAAAGAGAACTAACTGTCATTTGCAGGAGCACTGAATATTTAAGCAAAAACCATTTACATATTTACAGAGATTTCTTTCATTTGCAGGACCTTTCAAGGTAGAGATTTCTTCCAGTAATTGCGTACCAAAAATGACACGGATATATGCACAATTGTTGGGTGAATCATTAAGAAAAAGGAAATCCTGATAAAAGTATGGACAGTGATGGAACAATGCAACGTTGTTATTTTTCTAGTGGTAAATATTTATCAAGAATTAACGAGTGTTGTTGGGTAAATATTTTTCCTAAGTAGAGGCAAGGACTATGTTTTAGTGAGTGTTCGAAACAAACCCCGAAAGAAAGATGCACAAGAGGGAGATATATTCAAAGGAATTGAAGCATATACCTCAGGAGCCATGTAACCAAGGGTTCCAGTTTCACCTGTCATGTCATGAGGATTGGAAGCCTCAATACGAGCAACTCCAAAATCAGCTATTTTCAAGGTTCGTGTCTTGTCCAGAAGCATATTTTCTGTTTTAACATCTCTGTGGACAATCTTCTTTGTGTGGAGATAGCTCAACCTATAATGTACATAATGAAAATTCCTCAGGCTTAGAAAGAAAGCTTACTACATTAAATTTATATGATACAGATTAGGCATAGGGATTGGACCCTCTTGCAAGGTCAAGAGCCAGTTGAACAACCACTTTAAAAGCCAGCTTCCGTCTCCGGTTTTTAATGAGATAAGACTTCAGCGCACCTCCAGGACAATATTCAACAACAACACAACAAACATTACTTGGCATACCAATATGACCATTTTCTGTTTGTATCTGTAGCTCTGATGTTCCCATTGTTGCACCAATAAACTGCAAATTGCAAAATGGATTTCACAGTGACCATGAATAAGAAAATTCTCACATTATATTAGAACTTATAACAAAAAAACAGAATCTAACAATTTCCTTCCATGTCACACACTTTACGGTTTAAATTTGCCTAACACAAGGGCAAATAGGTTGTAAACACTTCAACCATGGATAGCCTTGGTCAAAATACATGAATTAGATAGTAAATGTATGAGAAATTAGATTAATGACAACGGTGCAAACATAACATATTAGTTATGGGGGATCCTTTAAGACTGGACCAAACTTCAGCCTTATACACTTGCAGAGGTTTATTCTCCCCCGGTGTGGATCTTAATGCAGCCCACACCTGCCACACTGCCACTCAATCCTCTTCCCTGTTCCCCAACATAATAGAGAAAACAGAATAACAGAAAATAAACACCTAGAAGAATTCATTTGACACAAATGTGACCAGAATCAAGCCATGTCATCACATCACACAATGAAGAGACATAACAGTCTGAGGATTGGACAATATTTGACTCCTAGAACATATTCCAATATTTGGCTCCTAGAATAGTGGCCTCGTGGAATGTATTCTTAAGATCTTTATCATTTATCTTTCTTCACTTTCCTTGTGCTAATTTATACACTTCCTGTTCTTCTCTGACTTGATTCATTGTAGCAAATGATAGCATGTAAGTAACTTGTCATAGTAAGCTATCCCAGTCTTTCCCAACACAAGATAAAGGGGAAAGCAATGAAGGCCAAAATATTACCTTGGTTACATTAGGATGGTCAAGCTTGTGCCAGACAGCAACTTCTTGTGTAAAAGCAGCTCTCAAAGAAGCTATTTCAGCCTCTGACCGATGGCCCTCTTCTCCCCAGTCAAGGAGCTTAACTGAGAAAACAAAATGAAAGATAAATTGATTGATACGAAAGCAGCTCGAGAACAGGCATTCACAAGGTACTTTAGGCTGTTCATTCATTTAAAATTCAGTAGAAAGCTGCAGAGTAAACAAGTTTAGCATCCATGAATTGTTAAGATAATAAAGTTCTGCATATAACATCATGACAAATGACAATCATAAATCTCAGAAAGAAGTTAGTATAATCAATGATTTTAACTCCCATGAGAAGAGTTCCAGTAGCTAACTCCCAGTAGAGGAATATTTTATGAATGAGGAATGCATGTGGCAACATAATAACCAGTCATTACCAGTCAACAACTTCAATTATTTTATTACCACCCCATAGTAGTTAAATCAGGGGCACATCAGTAATAACCATGAACACATGAAAGTTCAAAAAAGGAAAGAAGAATATTAAAGTTCATGCACATAACTGTCAAGTCAACTGGATCTTGTGAATTCAAGGAAAAAGAAAAGAAGTAAAGTATTCACAATCTTGTGAATCACGGATTTTGTAAATCTCAATCCACAAAGTTCCAATGCTTGCCCGTTGCATCTCATCAAACACTATTAACTTAGATGACTTCTCAAAGAACTCAACAACACAACAGACAGCAGAATACAAACTCTTATCCGAGCAGAAATTGTTGTTTGATTTGATTGTAAAGGAATGAAAATAATGAAATTACAAATAGGAGCAGATAAACAAAACTTAATCAGTGGATCTGCTGGCCACCTTAAAACCTTTTATTACACTTCCATTGAAAGTTAAGACCTCAAAGGAACATGAGTTGTCACATAAACTCGAGAAAAGGCACTTCTCTATGGAATCTTGACATTCACATAAAAGAAGGCAAATCAACCCATCAACATGCCACCCATTTCAGGAGGAGAAGACATTATGCAAATTTGCACATTATGATAGTCTCAGTGGAAAACACCAAGTACATGAGTTTCTCCAAGTACACAAAACTGACCCTTGCACAAGTAAGTAGTGTTAAAACCAAAAAACAAAAAGTGTAAGAAAAGGAGGGAAAAACAAACTGTGCATGTTTTTTTTTTATCAGGAAACAGTTACATATGACAAAAGACAGACATCATAGGAAACCTCAAAACTCTCCAACAGTAAGACCAAAGAATGAGAGTACCTGCAACATCTTGGCCATCATAAATCCCACGGTGAACAGTACCAAAAGTGCCACGAGCAATGACAGTCTTGATGATAAGCTTAGAAGGGTCAATCTCCCATTCTTGTCTGCTTCTTGTGGACCTTCCTTCAACTTCATCTTCTTCCTTCTCCTTGTTCTTCTCCATGGTCCATGCTCTACTTAGATGCCTCTGAAGTTGCTCATCCAAGCTCTTCAGATCTATCTGATCCGCTCTCACATACCCTCCACCACCCCCACTCTCACTCTTCTTCATATCTCACCCCTCTCTTCTCTACTTCCTAACTCCAAACTCAAAAATCACCACACCCCTCTATGCCTTCTGCTGCTGAAGCTGCTTAGAAGCATCAAAAGTTGCTAACTTTAGGTGCAAGTTCTGGTTTTGAGCAAGTTTTCCTTTGTGGGTCTCTTGTGTCTGTCTTCTTCTACTGAGTGCTGCCACTGCAGGTGTTGCTGCTGCTGCTACTACTTGTGGTGATGTTGAGGTCATAAATATAATGCTCTCTCTCTACAATAACTAGTATCACTCTCTCTCTCCCTCTCTCTCTCTCAATCATCCATGTGGGCACATGGATTTTGCCTGAACGCTACGTGTGTTTCTGACCCACTTTGGTCTCCTTCTAATTATCAAGCCTTTCCTTCACCTTCTAATTTATTGAAACCAAAGATCTCTTTTTTGTGTCTGTGGCTCTGCCTTATTGGGGGGTTGTTTGGTGTTTTTGTTTTTATTATTTAAGTTTTTTTTATTAAAATAATCATTTATGGCATTCACGGTTATTGGACCTTTACATATTGCCATCTCTTTCAAACAAGCTTGGCTTCATCAATATGTGATCATGCAAACGGTTAACGGACTCACTTGCCTCAAAAGAAAATAATATGTAACCTGTAATCATTATTGATGAATTGAATAAGAGTAATGTTATATTCTCTTGTTATTTATTTTTTATTAATCGTCTTAATTAAGAAAATATTAAATATAAATGTTTTAATATCTTAAAATTTATTTTTTATTTAACAAATAAGAGAATTTATAGAAAGATATTAAAGAAATGTTAAATTATTCATCGGACATATAGCCTTACTTAGATGATTCCCACATTTCATAGAATCATAGTTTTAAATTTGGTGAAGTTCATAGCATTATTAATTAACACTATCACATAATGACAAAAAAAATCTTTGGTTCCCCCCCTCTTTTTTGTGGCTGTGACCGGTTTTATATGAGTCAATTAAGTCTAATCAACATATAATAACCCTATAAAATAATAAGACAGGAGCAGCAAGTTAAGGGTAACCAATGGATTAGGTTAATGATAAAGAGAGGAGGAACATGTAGTATGAAGCCTTAATTTTATTAAAATAATTTTTTTAGACTAAGTTGAAACTTGCTTTGTAAGGTTAATTGTTTGATGGGACGGTAAAGATAAGCGAAAAAGAACGATACTATTTAAAGTATTTTGCATACTTAATTCAATACCCACAAAACCAATTTTATTTCTTTTACCTTTTAATTGAATGGTAAAACTCCAATTGTGTCAACACGCTACTTGATATGCATCAGGTTACGTGAAAATAAAATATCTAGACTGAAAATGATGGAAGCCAAAATATTCAAACAAAAATAAATAATAGTTATAGAAGTAAAAATAAGCAATGTATTGTTAAATGGAAATTATTACACTCAAATATTATATGAGTCACATCAGTTAAATCATGAACAATTGCTTGCAAAGTAACATGAGTGTATAAGAATTTTTATGAAGACAGAATGGCTTGCTTGAGTATTATTTTTGTCTTTTTACAGAAGTAACACATACTAAAAGATGGGATTAAATTTCTTCCCATTATTGTATATGCGTGTGTAGAATAATGAGTAGACTGACTAGTTTATCATCAAGGATTAAATAAACAATAAAATAGCAATGATATTCTAATGGAGAAAACAAAAGAATAAAATATTAGTGCATTTGGCAATCCTCTTTATGCATCCAGGTGTTAATAAGCAAAATTGTTTTTACTTCCTCTTATACTCATCATTGAAATGGATTCTCACAAGTCTATTTTCTTGCCATGCTTAGCCATCAATGCCAATTTGACACCCTACGTGGCTGAGTACATACCAACTGTCTCTTCAGTATTGACTAGTTGAAGGGAAGCACAGTGCCTGATCTCTAATAAAGGGAAGGACTTCTTTTTGTGGAAAGAGAATTTCAATGACAAGCTTGAACAGGTCATCTGGGGAAGGTTGCATTTGAATTTTGAAATACTATGCTCTTAATAAAGCAAGGGAAAAAGAACATAAAGAAGCAAACTGAGAGCCTTAGCCACCAAATGTGATATTCTATGTTGAAAGGAAAAATAAAATGCTTCTAATAAAATAGCATAGCTCAAGGAGTTTTTTTTTTTTTTTTGTCACGTATCAAGGAGGTCTTAAATGAACATAGTTACGCAATGCAAGAATCAAACTAATTTTCATGGGCCATAGTTACCTACGTAACCTAGGATCAACATCAAATTTGATTGAAAACTAAAATATGACAAATAGATAGATGGATGAACCAAAACCAATGATTTCTTTCTTTTGAATTCATTTACCTTTAAGATGCTTTGAATTTTTCAATGATCATATCGTTAGTTGGTGTCTAACACTTTGGAATCATGAGAATAAAAAAGTAACAGGTTATCATCATTTAGAATACAGCCTGTACTTAATTTATTTTCAAGAAGAAAAAGAAAACTTAATTCTGCAATATCTATTCCAGATTTACAAAAAAGAAATAAAGTGCTTTTTTTGTTGGTGCCGGATGAGCACTAATTCCAATTGCAAATGGTAACTTTGAATGATTTCATACAGTTAATTAAATTCACCCTTTGAAATTCTAATTATACATTGTTTACCATTGGAGTTTTCTTTCGCCCTGTATCTGTAAAACTGATGTAACTACATATGAACAATGAAGAATGAATAACGAGCAGTATGGAGGTTAGAAAAAAACTATTTTACATTCGTATCGAACATGGCTGACATCTCAAATTTTAACAAGAATTTAAATTTTAATAAATCACGGCATATACTTAAATTCCAAAAAGAAAATAATAAAAGGAAATATGTAATTTTGGCATTAGCTTTGCAATGAATTAAAGTGCAAGTAACATTGCTGTTTCAATGTTGATATGCAATGCTTAATGCTTGCCCGTGAAAACCTACTTTGGGACTTGAATGTGGCCAAAAAGATGTCTCAAGTCTCAACAAAGTCATGAATCACGAGGCCAAGTTTCAACTGAATCGCAAAATGCTCGAGATTTTTATTAAGAGCTATCAGTAGTTAGTATAACACCCGTGATCTCAAAGAGGCATGACTGTCCAACACGAAAACTACGATGACCCTTCCCATTACCCATAATTGTGCCCCAAAAAGAATGATAAAAAATAATAACCTTTATATTCACAGTTCATATCATTGAAAACCGAAAAATTCACATTATCATCAGTGATATAGGCATGAAATATGCTAGGATCTTAATATAAGCACCGTGGTCTATGACTTATACGTCTTCAGCACCACAAACTTTCTTGGTCACGAGACGCACATGCAGTTGGATTTTCAGCCATAAGGAGTCAATATGCCAATTCAACAATATTTCCTTAACTTGGGGATCATATAAATCCCAAAACCAGTTTTATCCAATAACTTTATGTTGCAAATTTAAATCAAGTTAATTAGCTGATGAAATAAAGCTGACATTAAAGCTTTAGCGTAAATCACAACTTTTTTCAAACTTGACAAAATTGTAATTAATGTAATGAATGCTTAGTAGTTAGTAGTCTAAACTTGTAGAGATGCGTAACTAACCAGACTTTTGGCATATCATTCTTATCCATGAAAACTGGACCAATTTTTCAGGAACATGAGATTTGGGAACATTTGCAAGTTGAACTGCCAACTAGCAGTGACAAGAAAAGTTTGCTGCCAATTACAGCTAAATGAAACTGTTACTCTAAACCATTGCTGTACATGTGATTGATTCTTGGGTATGATGAACCCAAGTACAGCCTTCAGAGAGTGTACCATTCATTGAGGTGTGGAAATAATACTGTCTTGCAAACAAAGATAACTGCTGTTGACTAGGACTATGTTTCAACTGTGGAAATTATTTTATATTTCTATAAAAGAAGAGCACCTGGGAGGAGGGGAGAAGAAAGGTGAAAAGTAGTAGTAATATTAATATAATGGTGCCCTCATCTGAAATTGCCTCCACCTATATAGGATTGCACAAGCATAAGGTAAGTCAACCTGACCTGAACATGTAAAGCAAATAAGTTCAAACTTGGATAGGACACTCACCAGTTCTGGCTTTTTGGAGTACACCCTAACTATCATGTCTTGAAAAGATGCAGGCAGCAAGTGGCTTACGCGGTCATCAGATATTGTAAATTTCTCGTCACTTTCATAATCCTGAATACATTATTGAACAGGTAAACGTAATATAGCTAGCAGCATTATATATGTATACATATAGATAGCAGCAAAAGATTAAAAATTATTCAGGTTATCCTCATACTGTCTCACTCCTCATCCACTTAGACCTCAAAATCAGCATTCACTTTATACAAAAGGCAGTTTAATTTTTTTATGAAGTGACATTAATTTTTACATATTGGCATATTATTAACTAAGTACTTCCCACAGCAGCATTTCAAAGGAAAAAAAGTTTCTCAAGGAAATATTCATAAAACTTTGTATAAATATTAATATGCAAAATCCCAGAAGAACTCCAACATTCCAACCCATTGATATGCAACTTAGTTACCAAGAACAAACTCTGCTTGAATAAAAGATAACATTGAGCCTCTCTTGACCCAATCTTTGAAGTTTAAAATCGTACTATTGTTAGCTTCCCCGAACGTACTATAAAACTTCTGACAATGGACTCAAATTAAGATAAAAAATTAATTTTGCATAATAGCCCCCCACATGATTGTCAAAATGAACCAATCAGTTTGTCGAAGTAGAACATTTTGGGCTCTCAGCCACATCAACTAAACACCAATCATAAGCACCCATCAAACACACAATTTAATTTTTCATATTATTTTCAACAAATGAAGTGAAGTACTATCTGTTCTGGATAACCAAATTTGTGTATATTCCAATAGATGTAATAAGAGCAGTATAAACTAGAACTAATTAGCTAGGAAGAATAACTTAAAAAACTAGAAAATGTCAGACTGCACATCAGGTAAGAGGGTTTGCTAGTCCAAAAAGACATAATCTACCAATTCAAAATAGATGTACCTTGAAAAAGTTGATGCGGCCACAGAAACATGCACCAGAAGAGAATAAAAACATAGGTTAGTATATGATATTCGGAAGTTAAAACAAACTAAAGGTCTATGATCAGCATGGATGATCATTCTTCTCTGAATACCTTTCCAGAGGGTTATGCTTTCCACGAGTCAAATCAATTTTGACATTACAAATAGCAACATCCTCCTCTTTCAGTGTAATTCCACCACTCTTCTGTCCAATGATGTCACATATAAAACAATACGGAACTTCATGTTGAACAGCAAGAATAAAAAATATTTGCAGATAATAAGATTTAATAAGATTGAGAACCTGAGAACAAACAATATCTTGAGCAGTGACTTTCTTAAAATTGTCCAGCATATCCTTTCGTACAGCATACTCATTACAGAACTGCAAAAA